AATCAGTTATCTAACGTGAATAAATATTCAAATAATCTACATTTAAAAGTGGCAAAAGGCTCCCTGCGGATGTCAACTGGTATAGCATTCCAGCAATCTGTCGAGACACTTCTGAAAGACCGTCTATAAAGCTCAGTTCGAGAAAGAGGAAGTATGAGAGAATCATTAAGAGCATGAGTGCTGCGACACAAGGAATGCCTGAATTCATAATTATTGGACAAAATTTCAGGTCGTTGACAATCAAGCAATTTGTGCAACAGGCAACAAATAAGATACTTTCTTCTTGTTTTTATCTTCAGCCAATGAAGTCTTCTGTAGTACGGTGTAACGTGTTCATTCCATCCGATTTTAAAGATGAACCTTATGCAATTGTTAAAAGCTCTGTAAAGACGTAGATTATCTTCCCCAGAGATATCAGTCATTAAAGTGCAGCAATAGTCTAAATATGGAAAACTCAGAGTAGTAACCAGTCTGATCCGAAGTTCATATGTGAAGAGATTTTTGAATGTTTTGAGACGATGAAGCAATCCATTAATGCGTGAAATAATACTGGTAACTTGAAGGCTCCAAGATAGATTACTAGTCAAAATGACTCCAAGATATGTGACTGATTCACTGAACGGTATAATATTTTCATTAATATTGATTTGTGGTAACAAGCGTAGATTAATACTTCTAATAAATCTTGCTGAGCCCATCAACAAAGCAGTGGTTTTGTCCGGATTTAAGGTCAATCCATTGATTCGTGCCCAGTTTGAAACATTACAAATGTCAACATTTACTCTATCCAAAGCTTCACTCAANAAAGCTGGCTCAGTATGTAAATAGATTAGTAGATCGTCAGCGTAGAAATTATACTTGCAATACTGTAAGGATGTACCGAAGTCAGTAACATATAAGATATAAAGTAAGGGTCCAAGAACAGAGCCTTGAGGAACACCCTTCGACAATGGTAACCTTGCAACCGACGGTCTCGGAGGTCGCATCCGCCCGTCGTGAAGAGAGTCTAGAGGCCAGCAGGAGAGCGTAGCGTAGGAATACCATCTCAAGCGACGGAGTAAGGCGTTCGAAGTAACGTCAAGTATTTTTGTAGTGGCAAATCAGCAGATGGTTTTGTTTTTTTTATTTTTTTTTTGTTTGTTTTTGAGCGGACTGTATTTCGTGTATTTAATTTAGTTAGGGATACAGATCCGAGGTGCGTAATGCCCAAATTTTAATCAAAACAATTTTTAGTTTATTTTGTTTTATTTTTTTTAGAGGGACCCAAGTAGAAGGGGTCGACTTGCTAAACTGATGTTTGCCAAAAACACTTGTTTGCGAAGCAGTGTGTAATTATCGCTATGATGTTGTAAGTAAGCGTGGTTTGGATTGATTTTCAATCTGGCTAAGTGTGAGCAATAATTAAGGAGTTAGGTACTAACTTGTAGAACTTAACTTGGTAATTATTACTGTAACTGCAGTAACAGATTATATGTTCAGTGAAAAGCTCACCTAAAAAAAGAAAAACAATAATTAAGGTTAATAAGGTTTTGTATACTTACCTGTAGTCGTTAAAACTAGCTCCGTTCATCCGAGTTAGTCGTCTTCTTCTTCTGGATAGTTGGGCAGTTACCTGAAACAGAAAATAGAGTTAGCAAAACGTCTCGTTAAAAGTTTTTGCTCACGCTTCGTTAGATTGTTTGTGTAAAAAGTAGTTGAATGAAATATTTCATGTAATTCAGCAAGGTTTGTTGTACTTACTCCAGTGTGCTGTACCTCTCTGCGGTGCGTCTGTGTGTGGCATCTAAGTTTGGGTTGCTAATTATTGCGGAAACTTTGCGTGCGTACTTTTCTTCTTTAGAGTGGACGTTTAGATAAGTTTCAGCAATAATTAGGTTTTGAAGGCTAACATCAGGTTGCGTTGACAATTATTGACGGGACTTGGTATACGCGTTACTCTTCTTTAGACAAGGCGTATGGGTAAATTTTGTCAATATTTGTGTGTTGGGACTAACTTTGTTGTTTGTTGGTAATTATTGACAAAACTGTGTGTGCGTGCTAATCTTCTTTAGATTAGGTGCTGGGGCAAGTTTCGTCAATAATTGAACGTTAGTGTTGGTTTCGGTTTGCGTTGGTAATTATTGTTGAGACTTCGCGTACGTACTATTCTTCTTCAGAATGGGCGTTCAGGCGAGTTTCATCAATAATTGAAAGTTAGGGTCCTAACCCTGACAGTCGTAGTAAAGCCTAACCCTCACTAAGGGTGGAATTATTGTTGAGACTGCGCATACGTACTGTTCTTCTTTAGAATAGGTGTTCAGGCGAGTTTCATTAATAATTCAAAGGTTTGGGGTCCTAACTCTGACGGACGTTGTCAAGCCTAACCCTCACAAAAAATTGAATTATTGTTAATACTTGGCGTGCGTAAAAAGCATCTTTTGTAGAGACGATACTGCAAGTTTAACAAATAATTGACGCTTCGTACTTACTTTAGGTCGGGTAGGCCCTCAGAGATTGAAAGCACCTGTAAAACAAAAACGAAATTAGAATTATGACAAATATTTCAAGGGTGGAAAGAGCTTCGATGGGAAAGGTTCCACACTAAGTATTTTCAATAATTGATGCGTTAATAGGTTTTGGTACTTACTTATGTGGGATCCTTATCCATCAATGACTCGGTCGGGAACAAAGAAAGGAGTTGTGAATTATTGGCGAAACTTTGGGAATAAGCTTCTCGAGTGTTGGTGAGACTTTGCTGATGGGAAATTTCAATAATTGAAATTTTCAAAATTGTGTTAACTTTGTAAAAAATTGTCAGTTATGGATAAAACTTTGTCAGTAGACATGGTTTAGATCAAAGAATAGTTCAGTAAAGTTTCATCAATAATTCGGCAAGTTTGTTCTCAAGGCGGGTTGCGCATGCGCGGTTCTCGGGAGGGGAGAGCAAGCGTTCGTGGCCGAGACAGGCGCGCCGCGCAGCAGTTGGAATCGAGCGCTCAAGAGAGCATAGCGCAATAACAACGAGTCCTGCTCAACTTAGTAAATAGTGTAGTACGATCGTTCCGAAGAAATCGGACGTATAGTCATCGTCTCGCTAAACGGCAACGCAGATTGCGACACCGGAAACCCGGTTGTTAATAACGTTTTAGTATGCAATCCTGTAACACAAGAAAGTTGTTATTTTAACAAGTGTGAATAAACAGTTTGTAAACAGTTTACCTATAAACTCAGTGTGTGATTATTTCTCACAACTTGAACTTTGGTAAAACCTGGGCCTTACCAGAAGCCCGTTGTCCGCAGCCATCATCCAGGGTCCGTAATCAAAGAAGATCCAGAAGCAAAGGCGGCAAGTTCGGATGTTCATCTGTTTGGTGAGTCCGTTTTTAAAACACAACGAGAGGATTAGTTCCTTCCTGCTTGGCGGTGAAAGCAGGTGGCGACCGTAAAAGTTAGTTAAACGACTTAACCGTCCGGTCACAACCTTTCCGAAACGGTTCTAGTAGAAACGTCCCGCACCGCTTGTGTACAATTGTGAAGATAAGAACAAATCCATCTGAGCGTAGAATTGGAGAAGTCCATTGGTCGAAGTTTATTAATTAGCCGCTGATAAATTACGTTGTCAAATGCTTTGGAAAAATCGAAGAACACCGATATAGTGATCTTTCTGGAATCAGCAGCTAGTCTGATATCATCCATAATCCTAATTAGAGCCGTTTGAGTTGAATAGTCCTTTCTGTAAGCATTTTGAAATGNATCAAGAAGTTTTCTAGTTTCAAGATAGTCAGTCATCTGCTCCGCAACAATGTGCTCAAACATTTTTGAAAGCACACAGGTGACAGAGATAGGTCTAAAGTGCTTCAGTTCAGAAGGTAATTTAATTTTAGGTAAAGGACAGACAATTGCTGTTTTCCACACTGCTGGGAAAGTTCCATTCATTAGACTAAAATTGTAAATATGTGTTATTATTGGAAGAACGCAAGACAGTGCAAAGCCAATGAGATCCAGTGATATTTCATCATAACCCACGAACTTAGATGTAATACGTGAAAAAGCATCCTTCACTTTACAGATTTCTATATTGGCCCAATAGAATTTTGTATCTTCATATACNGGATTACCGAGATAAATATCAGTCACTGTATGGTCAGATGAAACATGCGACACAAAGTAATTATTGAATTCGTCAACAGTAAAAGGTAGCTTTTTGTCGCTAGAGCGTGTTTTGATGAGACCAAGTTGGCGTAGCTTCTTCCATGTATCAGCAGGTTTTTTAAGGTTTGAGAACGTTTTCAAATAATATTCCTCCTTAGCAACACGCACCAATTCCTTGATTGTATTTCTCAAGACTTTATAAGAGTGATAATTAACCTCAGTTCTGTGCCGTCTCCATCTTCTACGAAATCTGTCTCTCTCAACCATTTGCAGTTTAATATCCGATGTAATCCAAGGCGCAGGTAATAGTTTAAATTGAATTGTTTTAAGTGGTGCATTTTTGTCAAAGCACTGCAGAAGATAAGTATTAAAAAGTGTAACTTTATCATCGAGATTGCTCAATTGAAGAAGCGCATCCCAGTCTTGATTTGCAACTTCATTCAAGAAAGCTGTGGCGTCGAATGTGCTATAGTCTCTGACGGTTATAGTTACTGGAATACATCGTGTGACTGAAATATTGTAAGTGATATCAATTAGATCGTGATATGAGAGGAAGTCAACGGATTCCTGATGAGAGGAAATCAATTTGTTGCACTCATCAACAAAACACAGATCAAGCCAAGTAGATGAAGTGGAGGTATGATGTGTAGGCTCATATGAAACAAGATGCATTGCTGAAGACAACAGAAAGTTTCTAATAAGATCAGAGTCGTAAGAGACATAAGTGAGATCAGCGTTAAAATCTCCACAAATGATAAAGTGTCGATAAGACACGGAGACATCAAGAAAAGTATTGAAAAAGTTTAGCAAATAACCGCAATGTGGCGGTCGATAAGAGATAAGGAGAGAGAGAGAGAGACTAAGATAGAATGAGAAAGAGTGCGAGAGAGAGTGAGCGAGACTGAGAGAGAGTGCAAGAGAGAGTGAGAAGGAGTGCGAGAAAGAGTGAGAAAGAGTGAGATAGAGTGCGAAAGAGAGTAAAAGAGTGTGAAAGAGAGTGCGTGACTGAGTGGGAAAGGGTGAAAGACTACTGTCTGCGACAGAAAGTGAGTGAGAATGAGAGAGAGTGAGAGAAACTGATATAGATTGCGGGAGAAAGTAAGAGAGAGTGAGAAAAAGTGCGAGCAAGACTGAGAGAGTGTGAGAGAGAGAGAGTGAGAGAGAGTAAGAGAGAGAGAGAGAAAGAGTAAGTGAGAGTGAGAAAGAGTGCGAGAGAAAGTGCGAGAGAGAGAGAAAAAGAGTAAGAATATGAAAAAGAGGAAAAGTAAGAAAGAGAAAAATACAGATTGTAAAATAAAAAAGTAAAAGAAAGAAGAAAAGATTGCAAAAGAGAATGTGAATACAAAGGCGGGAAGCTTAAAAACGATAGTGAGTTTAATCTTTAATGTTTGTTTTCTATATCTAAGTAATGCATTATTTGATACAATTAAAAACGTAAAAATTATTATACACATTTTATTTTTATTTTCTATTTATTTCTTTAAACAAATTTTTTAAATTATTAGTTGAAAATTTATAAGATTGAAACGCCGTGAAGTTTTGAAAAAAAAGAAATATTGGTTAAACACGATATATATATTTCACACACACACACACACACATATATATATATATATATATATATATATATATATACATTGGTACGCGGCGGACACCGCGTATGTACCGCGGGAGCTGGGTGAACGGCGCGCGATCGGTGCGACTGTCGGTTGCCGGGCGAAAACGGAGTTTGTTTACGAGAGAAGTTCAAGAGAGATACGAAGCTGTCACGGCGCGTTTTGGCGATTTGTATAACCAGCTGTTCTTTCCTTGTATTCTGTTGTAATAAAGTGTGTTTGACGAAAAGCCGCGTACCCTCTCGTTTCCGCGGGCAAGTGCGTGTTTCGCGACGTAGCTTTAGCGCGGCCGCGAACGCAACATTTGGGGGCTCGTCCGGGATTGAAAGTTCGAGCTTGAGAAAGCGACGGAATGGCTTTTGTTCACTCACCGCGGAGAACGCGTAACCAGGCTGCGACTGGAGCGGCCGAGGCGCCGGCGGCATCAGCGACGGCGGCGGAAGGAGAGACTTTGCGTGCGGTCTTGGAGGAGCTGGAGCGACTCCGGGAAGAGCGGCGACAGGAAAAGAAGGAGATGCGTCGTCTGGAGGCACGCGTTCGGCAAGAAACATCAGGCGAGTCGTCCTCTAGTTTGTTGCCCGGTCGGGCGGGCGAGTTAGCTAGAATTAAAATTAAGCCCGACGTGTTCGATGGGAACGTGCCGTGGCGTAAATTTTTTGTTCAATTTGAGTTGGTTGCTCGTGAGAACGGGTAGGACGACGCGGCAAAAACCACGGTTCTCGCTACTAGTTTGAGACAAGGGCGCGCTCGATTCTGGAAGGGTTAGAGGAAAATTTTAGTTTTCGAGAGATTTGCGCAAAATTGGAATTGCCGTACGAGGAGCGTGAAATGTTTCAAAATTATTATACGCAATTCACGAATCAGAAACAGAAGAGCGGGGAAGATGTTGCTGCACTCGGGGCAGATTTGGAGCGACTGGCCCGTCTTGCTTAATCGGAATGCTCATACGAAATCCGGGATAAAATCGCTTGTACGCAATTCATCGTTGCGCTCTCTGAAAAATTCGTGAAGCGGACTCTTCAATTAGAAAATGTATCTGTGTTACGAGTTGCGGTTGAGCTGGCGAGGGCGGTGAAAGTTATTCAGGAAGGTAGCTCTAAAGGGAAGGAAATAAAGGGCGAAACGGGAAGGATTTCAAACGTTCTTATGGAACTTGGAAAAAGGAAGAGAGAGAAGGATGTGATCAAAAAGAACGGCGAGGAGAGGGGATGCTGGAAGTGCGGAAAAAAGGGGCACTTTTGCTTCGAGTGTCCGGCTACTTTGTCGGGAAACAAGGCTTAGTCGAGCTTCCAGGGGTGGGCTCGGCTGTGGGGTAAAACACCCCAAAAAAGTTGTTTTTTGTTAAAGTTGAGAATAAAAAAACTAATTTATTTGTTTATTCCGGTTTGCTAAACAAACCACCGTGTTGCTTTAAATTTGACACAGGCTCCGATGTGTCTATTGTGAATTCTACTTTAGTAGGGAAGGCGCAATGTCAAAGGTTGTCGGGGAAGCCGAGATTGAGATATCCTACCGGTGAGGAAGTTCTGGTTCAGTTAGAATGTGTGGCTCGGGTGGTTGTAGGGGGACAGTTTTTAAATATGCCTTTTTACGTGGCAAATATACTTGACAAATGTATTGTAGGGTTGGACTTCTTCAGGAAGACAAGTCTGAGCAGGGCGTTGGAGTCGCTCTTTGGTGCTCCCTTGATTGAGTCTTGTTGTCGGGTGTGTGACGCTTCCGGGAAAGTTCCGGCTAATCTAAAAGATTTTTATGAGCGGAATTGTGTTGATCTGGATAAAGCGCAGAAAGATATTTTTGCTAAGTTTGTAAGTGAATTTCAGGATATCTTCTCTGATCAGATCGATGCTGGGAACTGTGATGTTTTGCAGCATGAGATAAATCTTCTGGATACACGCCCGATTAAGCCGGCTCCGAGGAGGATCCCGGTAGGAATGCGGGCTGAGATGGAAAAAATTCTTCAGGAAATGAAGGACCAGGTAGTTATCGAAAAGTCTTTTGGCCCGTGGGTTTCTCCGGCGGTTTTGTGAAAAAAAAGACGGCTCTTTGAGGTTCTTTGTGGATTATCGCCAATTAAATGCAGTTATGACCAAGGATTCTTTTCCTCT